CAGGGGGGGGTTTTCAGCTGCCCTTTTTCCTTTTCCGGACCCCTTCTTTTAAACCTTTCCAGGGTGGTTTTTCCGGTTTTCGCAAAAAGTTTTTTTTTTTTTCACCCCTCGCTTCGTTTTTGTTTTAAAGAAGGAACCCCCCCCCTCCCCTTTGTTTTTTCAGGGCCTTTGATATTGGGCCCCCCCCCCCCGCGGCAGGTGTGTGTGTATGGCTCCATGGTGGTGCTCATGTGGGGACGGCCGTTGATATCTTTCTCGCCGGATTACCTGTGGCCTTCGTCGTTTTCACATGCCCTGTCGGGTGGCAGGGCGGCTGGCAGCGTGGGGGCACTGTCCATTGTGGCGATGTTTTTGTTCGGGTTGGTACCACGGTTGTCGCCATCGGCATGATGACGGCGCTTCTGGACCACGCTGCGCAACAAATGATAGTGGTGTTGTTTTTCTTCCCCATGTTTTTTCCACTCAAGTTCTGAGTGTGAAAACTTTTGTTGCGGACTTGACCGCCCAACGATGGACGGTTGGGTTGCACTTTCTGTTTTTCGTGGTGAATGACTCTCCTTGGCTGCAACGAATGAGTGATATACGGTGGTAGTGATGTTCTGGTGGGCTGAGAGTTGTCCAATCGCGGAATGCTGCCTATACTACTTGGTAATATCCCAAGTACGGGTACCAGCCCGTATGTTTTCGCATCCCTTGCGTTGTTGTTTCCTCTGTGGGTATCACCAAGCTACAGTTTCTAGCTCGTCTTGGGACTTGCTACAGTTCTTGAATAGGGCGTCTGCTGTACCTGTATTTTTGAACAGCCGAAGTTCTCCCGTGGTGGCCGACACTGTGTACTAAGCCATGGCCTGTGAATTTCGGACTACCGGTGCCCCGCCACGTGCTCCATGTTGTCGCAGTGGTCTTTGTGCTTTCTTGCACCGTAGTAAAACTCAGTAGAGGTTGCTGGAACTTAAAAAAGACAGCATGACCTAGAGAAGACTGCTGCGTCGTTGTAGTATTTTCTCATCACAACAATCCATTGACGACTGCCCTGACTGCCAGTTTTGCTTGTCCTGCCGAACCTTTCTTTTGTCCGATCTACTGTCGACATCGGTCGTCGAGTCTCTCCTTCAGCTACTTGCCTACGGGTACAGTCAGGATCACCACAGGAAAAGTGTCTCGTGTCCCTGAACCCCGCCATCTTGTGACAACATTTACATACCTGACTTCGAATTCCACCCGTCATTACGATGCAGTGGGCACGTGCGTTCGTGGAAATAAGTACCGTAGGTGGCACATGATATCACACCCCTTTTTTTACCGATTTGTGAAGGCCGAGATTACTTCACAGCTGTCACGGCGGTGCCGAAACGGCGGCGTTGACCGTCTCGTCTCGTCGCGAGCTTTTTTGAACATGCGTCAATTATTTTGTGCATCCCCTCCGTCGTGGAGCGATCGAGCTTTGAAAACTCAGTCTGGGTATATGTCAATTTGTATCGCATGTCGCCTACTCCGTGCAAGTCTAAGTAGGTAAGCATACACGCGATCCCAAATAACGTCAAGGCGAAGAGAAAACAACTGCTTGCTGCTGTAGGGACACGACAGAGAAAAGAATAGTTGTCGCACACGAAATCTGGCTCTTTCTATCGGCTGCGCGGAGGTTGGTCGATTGTGTGCTACCGCAGGCCGCGCGCAGACTCTCACGCGGAGCAGCTCTCATCGCCTACGGGCATGCCGCATCATGAATTCGAATCACAACAACAGCAGTCCGCACAGATGAAGGGAGGACACCAGTACACATACCACAAACTTGTCGCAGGGATCCTTTTAGGTGCGCATTTGGCGAAAAAAGAGGGGGTCCTGGTCCGGGTCCGTCCGTTCTTTCAAGAGGTAACAACACGCCCGATAATATCCACTCAACTGGTATCCACCCCAGAGGAACGCGATTCCCCAGCAGCTAAGCTGTTCTGCTGTATCGTCCCCCGTGTCGCCGAAAACGACGTCTCGTGAGAGAGCGTGCGACCACGAGCGGCGGCGGGATATGTGCAAGGTAAGCGTACGATAGCCCCCGCCTTTTGTCTTGCTCGCTCTGAACACACACCGCCCGCTTAGACTCCTCTAAAACACGTTGTGGATCGAAGGGTGATGGAGCCAGGATTTTTTTCAGATTAATTTGTTCGTTTTTTTTCCAATGGGGGGAGAGATTGCGGGAGAGGATTTTTTTTCTTAAGGGGAGATTGCCGGAGAGGAACCCACACACACCGGCTGAAAAAAAAGCGGGGGTCTATCGCACAGCAGACAGGCGTGCTCACACTCACCCGCCGACGAACCCGACCTCTGGAGGGGTTGTCCGCCTGCGTTTTTGCCTACTGTCCACGGACCTCTGGAGGGGTATCCGCAGCAGAGCTGTAAACAAACGCGCACGGGCGAATAATTGATTTATCCCTTGGTTATAATAAACGCTCGCTCCTTTTTGTCGTTCGTGTCTTCCCTTCGGATGGAGATGATACCGCACGATGATCATACGGTCCAGTTTTTGGGCAAAGCAATCCGTGCGCCGGGCGCCTCAAACGTCCGCTACCTGGGCGGACGGCTGAGGTACTACGGCGGCGTGGTGCTGGGGGAGGCAGGGCAGCCCTCGTCCGGTGTCCAGACACCAACATCAGCGGCTCCGTCGGCAGGACCGCAGCAGCAGCAGCAGCAGCAGCAGCAGCAGCCGCAGCAGCAGTCACGAACAACTATTATCTCGCTGAACGACGTTGTGGAGGTTCGCGCAGCAAAGGATACCGCAGTCGGCCTTTCGCCCTTCCTGGCTCAGGTATGTAGGTTGTGCGTGGAAAATCTTTGGAGATCGAAACGTTCTGCCCTTTCATGCTGCTCTGAAGCGCTTCATGCTGCCGCAGGGCAGCAGCATGAAGTGGCACCACTCTCTTTGGTGTGCGTTGTACACGCATGCAACCGGGTGCCAACCGGTCGTGATTTTCGGACAGAACGGGCGTGATGATGATTCTGCAATTTTTTTTGGCGCCTGTCATCATTGAGTCTTTCGTCGGACTGGCATGCCACCGTATGTACATCCTTGATCTAACAACAGAGTGTTCGTGCGTGGAGGCTATCGTTCATCGACTCTCTCTCCTTGCTCTCTCCTTACTCTCTCTCTCTCTCTCTCTGTCCTTCTCTCCGCAAGAAAGTGTTCGTGCGGGTGTAATTTCCGCCTGCGTGTGGGGAAGTGCGATAAAGTTCCCCTCCTCCTCTCTGTGTGTCATTTCTTGTCAGACCGTTTCTTGATACCGCTGCTGTACAACAGCCTCGAGCAGACAGCGAAGATTCGAAGGCAGTTAGTTTTAGGGCGCCCGAGCTTCGGCAGTCGGTTGTGCCTGTGACCTGCACGCACGCTATTTCGCTGTTTGTCGATGGTGACCGCCTGCTTTACCCCCACCGAAGCGAGAGACAGACAGACAGATGGAAGGGAACGGGTTTTTTGGGCTCTGAACAGCCGAACGGTTGAACTTTTCCAAACTGCGTGTGGTCGATACAGATTATTAGTCTCGTTAGACCACTGGGTGCCTGATAACTTTCCGTCGCGCATAAAAAGCCCGCTTCTTCTCTCGCTACTGCAGTGAAATTGCGCAGTGGAATCCAGCCCTTTCCCCCATGCTTGGTTTGTCCAGATCCTCTACCCGTGCCCATGTAGTCACTGTTCGCCTACTGTTGAGTATTCTGGTGCACCGACCTGCTCCAATCGGCTGAACCTTTTACAACTGCTGCTGCGCGCACGATGCATGTGTAAGTTCAAGTGTAGACCAGACAAACTTCAGCGGGTGAATGTGGTGGTCTCCCTCCCGCAGACAGCACAGCTGGCAGCAGCGTCCTACCGTCGTACCCTGTCTTGACATTGAATAACATGCGCAGTTTTGCGGGTACCACTCTCAGAAGTACAAAAACAGGAGTACTTTTCCCTCTGGTCATCATGCCGGTTTTGTGTGGGGAGATTGTTTTAGGTGCTCCTTCCTTTCCAATTGGATTCTGCCGGCCTGAGAACCCAGGGTAAGTCGGAACGAGAGGGTAAATATCTCTGGCACCGGTGATTTATCTAAGATATAAGACAATCGCACTTCCTTCGGTGCGCAGAAGTTTTGTCTCCCCCCCAACCCTTTCCCTCATGATCAACGTATGCGTAAACCGGTACATTGCATATAGATTTCGAGAGCTTTTGTCGGAATCACAAGGATGGATAGAGACGGATACTCCGTGTTATTCTTGAGTACGAAAAATAATAAAATAATTGAAAAAAAATAATTGAGCCGTGTTGGGACTCCACAGCAACGCACCTACACTGCTGCTGTCACGAGCGCGTTTGTGTGTGCCGCTAATTTTGTCATGTAGCCGAATGAATGGATACAACAGAGAGCGCTGATCGCGGTACATACATACATACCACTGCGGTTGTTTCACACACGGGGCGCCGTAGGACAACAAACTTTCATGTCCACAGACATTATTTTTCAGCAGCAGCTCCGGACAAAAAATCTTCTGTTTACAGAGCAGCCTCTCATTCGGCGTGATTTCCTGTGCCAGGCCTTTACAGCAGTACACAATTTGTTTAAACACTGGGCAGTATGAACACCAGCATGTGACGCCACTTCTGTACAATATCTGATCTTCTTTACGCGTGGCTGCCGTTGGCTCCACACGTGGCCTAGGCCCGCAATCATCGATTTCCGCACCTCTCCACACCTCCACTGCGACTCCTGTTGTTCGGTTGTGTTACTTTCAGCGATGACGTATATTGTAATGGTATTGCAACGCTACAAAACTGCTGCCATAACGTCTGCGCGCGGGCACGACCGTCGCGCACAAGCCACAAACATTCTTGCCCGCCACCAGTGCAATTTCAGCGCCTCTTCGAAAACAACGCCGCCGCGCACATGCCTGATGAGCCTTTCCGCACACGCCCCCCTACCCCTACCCCCGCCGTCTCCGTCATCAGGTGGAGGCGTTTTGGGAAGACTCGTTCACGGGGATAGCGTACTGCCGTGCCCGGTGGCTCTTGCGCGCTTCGGAGATCCCGCGAGAAGACGTGTCCGAGGACGAGGTCCTGCTGACCACTGTCACGGACAACATCGAAGCGGCGCACATCCTGATGCTCGCCCCGGTGGCGGTGGCCTCCTCGCCTCACGCCGAAGCCAAGCGGGAGCCTGAAGCGAAGCCAGAGCCTTCCGCGGGCACTCGCCAGGGCCTGCGGCCCAAGCCTCGCAGCCCCAGGCTGGGCAAGGTGTTGCGCGGCAAGCGCGACAGGGAGGAGGAGGCCACCGCCACCTTACGCCTCGCCCGCGCGTACGACCCGTTTTCCGCCGAGGCTTCGGTCCTGCCGACTGATCACCCCGTGGTGGTGCAACTCCGTGCGCGGGAGCGGGCCGGGGGCAGCGGCAGGCTGAAGGCGGGGGGTTGCCTGAGCGATGCGCACGGTTGTTCGCGCAAGAGTGGCTGTGGCAGGGCTGGGGCCCAGCGTAAGGGCCTTGACGGTGCGAGGCTGGTGGTTGCTGCTCCTCCGACGCGGGCGTTTGGCGCACGGAGAAGCGGCGGTGTGACCACCACCACCATCAGCGGTGGCGGTGGAGGCGGTTTCAGCAGCAGCAGCAGCAGCGTTAGCGTGAGCGTGGGTGGCGACAGCGAGAGCAGCAACTGCAGCAGCGAAGGCGGGTTCACGAGCGAAGACAGCCAAGACGACGTTCTCGACGCAGACGACGACGACGACATTGTATCCGCCAGCTACCCGAGGACACGCCGAGGACGCCGCCGTCAAGCAACGGCGGCGGCGGCGGCGGCGGCGGCGGGGGAAGCCTTGATCAAGGCGGAAGAACCGACTGCGGCGACGAAACCGGGCGCACCCGAGGCAGCGTCGGACACGTCGTCATTGGACCGGACAGCAAAGCGCCCGGCTCGGCCCCGGCGTCTAGCCATGCCCCCTGCCGACTCCGCGACTGGCCTAGGCGGCGGGGGCGGCGCCAGAGTCGAGGAGGCCGGGGGGAGGAAGTGCCAGCAGCAGCTGCGCAGCGGGCTCCTGATCCGAGCGGCCCACGCGGGAGAGGAGTCGGAGGATGGCCTGGACTCGCCGAAACTGGAACAGTACCCGCAGAAGGAGACGAACGTCGGGGAAGACCACCAGGCGGACATCCCCAGCATGCTGCTGACGGAGGCCGAGCGCGCGGCGGACAAGGCGGCGATGGAGGAGACCGCGGAGATGGGAGGGACGGCCGTGAGTTTTGTGCACGAGTTTTTTTTTTTTGTGTGTCCGCGCCGACCAAGTAAATACGCACCAGTGATATTTTGGAAGGGAACAGATTGTGTGATTCCAAGAAAATGCGTCACCCCCCCTCTCCCGTCACACACACCCCTCCCGTCGCACCCCTTCCTCCCGTCACCTACCCTCCCGTCAGTCACCCCCAATCGAGGCAGTCCAACCCAACCCAATGCAACCGCCGCCACGCGTTTGCCGCCTCCCCTCAGGTGTGGAGCAGCGTGAGGGATTGGACGGCGAGCGAGAGGGAGCGCCTGGACGGGTACCTCGAGGAGGCCAGGCGTGCCGCGGACGAGAAGAGGATGTCGCCGGGTGTGCCGGCGCTGATCAGCATCAACAACGGGGGCGACAGGCGGCGGAAGCGCAAGATGGCGTGGGCGGTCATGGCCGGAGGGAAGCCCGAGGACGAGGAGAAGCTGCGCGTCGGCTGCGCGGGGGGCGGTGTCTCGGAGGTGTCGCGGAGGGAGCTCCAGCCCACCCAGGTGTGCGTTTGGCATTTTTCCAGAGACAGGCCTGCTGCTTTGTAGAGAAAAGGGGAAAACAATATCGCTGTCTTGGTGTAATCCCGAGGGAGCTTGGACGGCATTGATCAACCTCTTTTCAATGCGCGATGGTGATCGGCCTGTTTCTAGTGTGGGGGTTCAGGCACTGCTGTCAGCGACAGATGCGGGGTTGGTGCGCAACAATCGGGGCAGGTTGTTGCAAAGCAGTGGTGTATCGGACACCGCGCAAAAGCTGAAAGGTCCAGCGACCCTTCTTCGTCGCAGGCACGCGGGCTAGCATCGTAAACGTCTTTTCATGTGACTGGACTCCGACATTATCAAAACGTGACCCGCGGTCGGAGGAACGCTCAGCGAAAGGCACGTGCCACCCCAAGGGTAGAGGGCTATTTTAGATGCGCGGTGCAAGCAGGCGAGGGTCTCTTCCGTTGGACCGTTACCAGAACTCTTAAGCGCGTGTGTTTGTTGCGTTCACGCTTGCATAAGTTAGTGCGCGCGTGCTACCGAGTAGTGCCTGCACACGATGTGTTTTCTTCTTTCGCGATGGCGTCAACGCTTATTGGTGTGCCCGGCTTCTGCAGCCTTTTTTGCTGCATTGGTTGTGCTTCTGGACTTGAATCTGAGCTGCATGCGATAGCACCTTCTAGATTTGAGGTTATAGATTACCTTCTGCATGCGATAGCACCTTCAAGCTTTGAGGTTGTATATTGCCTTCTTTGATTTTTTCCTCGTCTCGATTACTTTTTTTCGCACCCCGATGTGTGTGCTCTCGGGCAGGTTGAGGAGCTGGCCATGCAGGCCCTTATGCAGGAGGATGCAGGCAACAAGAAAGGAAAGGGCAGCCTCATGGACAACACGCGCACCGCCCTCGGCCTTCTCGACAACACCATGGTCGACGACTCGGGCCCCCTGGCCACCTGGACGGGACCGCAGGTATTGTGATTGCTGTCGCCCTCCAGATTGGAAACAGATAGACAAGAGCAGCTCACAGAATCACCACGCTGGCGCCGCTGAGTTGCTTGAGCCAAACAGGGATGGGCATCATTTGTGTGATAGTACTATTGGCATGCTGCTGGCGTTGTCAAGGGGTCTGGTATCACGTAGCAGCTGTCCATTCCTTTTGTTTTGCGGTTTGTTCACCCCCCCCCTCCCCCCCCCCGACCTCCGGTGCGATTTTTCTGCTGTTGCAGATCGAAGCCCTCTCGAAAGCTCTGGAGACTCACTTTGATGCAGACCGCTTTACTCGTTCGAGAGGGCACGAGCGACATCGCGACGAACACACCGACGTCACCTCTTTGATCGCTTCTGTCGACGGAAAGACGCCGTCACAGGTAGGACAAGAGAGGAAGAGCAGAGAGAGAGAGAGGGAGAGAGAGAGAGAGAGAGAGCAGACAAGGCGCGTTTGCTGCAGACGGCTCACAGAGACTTGAACGCTTTCGAAAATGCGGGGAATATTGTTGGTTCGAAAGGTCCACCAGAGCCCGAGCGTTCCGCTCTCAGAGCCAAGAGACCCCTCCGGCAGGGACACAGATCACACATCAGCGGAACCAGAACGAACATTTCCCTTCCGTGTGTGCACCGTCGCGATGCGTGCCGCTACCTCTTCCTGTTCCCCCGTCGCCCTCCACCGCAGGTTCTGTCGTTCTACTACCGGTACATGGCCACCGGAGACGCGCTGACGGAAGTCATGGGAAGCGCTGAGGTGTGTGCGCGTGCGTGAGGGAAACAAGAGTGTGTTTCGCGCGCCTCCAGATGAATGTGTGTCCTACATGGCAGACAAACGAAATATCCGCAGTTTGTGCAACCATGATGTTTCTGTCGATGCCCTCTTTTTTTTCTGCTTCGTGCTTCGTGCTTCGTTTCGACCAGGGCGAGCACCAACACCCCCCTTGGTTTCTTCCCCGGCAGTGAAGCGTGATTTCTTTCCTGCTGTCGCACAGGCGTTGATTCGGCACCCTTGTTTCCTCAATTATCGAGGCATGTCATGAACAGGTCGTACTTTGCTCTGCGTGTCCTTTACACGGCGATGTTTGCCGAGGAAAAAAAACACCCCCAACCTTTCCTCCGCCACACACGCCCCCCCCCCCCTCCCGTTCCCCCAACAACAATAAATCCATCTATCGTCCGTCTTGCGCGCCTCCTGCAGGCGCAAGCCAAGGTTCGTTCGGAGAGGAGGTCCGCGAGCCTCCGCGGCCCGCCCGCCCCGCGCCCGAGCCCGCCTCCCAACCTCCGGCACCGCCCGTCGCTGCGGTGCCCCACCCGCCTCCAGGCGTCGTCGTTCGAAGACTCGGGCGACAGCGACGACGGCGACATAGCCGTCGGCTCGTACCAGCTCCGGACGCGGAGGTCGAGCAGGAACGACAGGCGCGGAGCGGCGGCGGCGGCGGCGGCGGCGGCGGCGGCGACAGCAGCGGCGACAGCGGCGACAGCGGCGGCGACGGGGAGCGCCGGCAGCAAGGGGAGCGCCGGCAAGGCCGTTAGCAGCAGCAGCACCAACAGCACCAACAGCACCAGCAGCAGCAGAGGCAGAGTCAACAACAACAGCGATGATGGCGGCGGCGACGGCGTTGGAAGCAGCAGGAGCAGAGGGAGCAACAACAACAACAGCAGCAGCGACGACAGCGGCGGCGGCGGCAGCGGCGGCAGCGGGCCAGTCACGCGGCAGCCTGCGGACCACCGGCGCACGTCCGCGCCGGAGGAGGAGGAGGAGGAGGAGGACGGAACCGCCTCCTCTCGAGGCCGGGTCGGGAGCAGGCCGCCGGCGGGATGGGCCCAGGGCGGCCGGGGGGGGGTGGCAGCGGCAGCGGCGGAGGCGTTCGGAGGGGGCGAAGAAGGGAGGGGGTGCAAGAGGTCTTTCGACGACCACCGGGCTCCGCCGGGCGACGCTAGGGGGGGGGCGAAGGAGCAGCGGGTGCCGCAGCGGCCGCGTTGGCAGCAGGAGGTCCCTCGGCAGTCGATCCCTGCGGACGCTGTCGTAGTGGAGGTGAGGCGCTGTTTTTCGGCGGCAGCCTCGAGAAGACGTTTCTCACGCAACCAATGATTTGACGACTTGAGGGAGAGGTAGTGCGGCAGCCGTGAAAGGTGCCCCCAAGCGGTAGAGGTGCATCACCAGGCGAAGGTGGCGCCTGTTGTTGTTGCGTGTGCGTATCGGGCTGTTCGATCCCCCCATGCTTGCATTAGAGTCGGTTTGGAGTCGGCAACAGGGCTGCGTGTCCCGTCTGGATTTAGTGGTGCTCTCTCGTTAATGTTATTGTTCGGCAGTAGCGACGCAATGTTACCACTGCCGGAGATAGAGGCTCGCCGGTCAATGTCATGGACTCTTGACGTCGAAACCGTCATGTTCGTTTCAATCCACCCTCCCTGAAAAATGGCCCATCTACTACGATCGCAACAGCTGTGCAGCAGATCGTTGGCGAGTCCTTCCATGCTGAGGAGCCGGTAGCCACAACGCTTACGTACTTCGATTCAAGTCATTGGCCGTTCCAGTCTTCTCCCAATCTATCCCTCTGAGCTTTCTCGCCAACTCGATGGTTTCGTGCTGATTCTGTGTGGCACGCGGTGATCTGAATGTCAGGTGTCAGATGATGAAGAGCCGGCAGCAGCAGCACTAAAGTTAGCATTAGCAGCAGCAGCAGCCTCAACCACAACATCAGCTGCAGCTGCAGTATCAGCAGCAGACACCAACGTTAGCATCTCAAACGGACGGGGCATGAACGAGGCTCGTGGTCCAGCATTTGTCGGGGGATCGACGGCAGACGTAATGGCCGGCCAGCGTCGCCACGGACACACGGGCTACCCCCACGGTACGGGTAGCATGGACGGTTGTAGGCCAGTGTGTTGGATGGAAACTAAGGCCGTGTGCATGCAACGCGTTGAACGACCCGCCCCCACCCCCAGGTATGTATGTGGGTGTTTCTTTTATTCGCAGCCGACCAAGGAACTACTGTGAAATGCACTATATGAGAATGTAGTATTGATCTTTGTCAAGGTTTGTGCGTCCCACTCGCGGGTGAGCCCCCCGGTCCGGTGGTGCACAATAGCAGTGTGCCGATGTTCATTTCTAATTGGTTCGGCTCATTTGCTGGCGCCGCTCTGGCCCAACCTCCCTAAAGACCGGTTGTGCATTGACTGGTGCCACTTTCTCACCGTCGCCTCTGATGTTTGCGTTGTTCATGGTGATGCGCTCTCCAACGTGGGTTGGTGCTAACGCAATCCGACGCGGAAACAGGAGGTGGTGCTTCTACCTTCGCCAGACGTGTAGACGAGCGCCGCAAGGACAGCCGTGTCTTGGCCGACCAGCGACAGCACCACCACGACCGCCGCTACAGCGACTACCCTTACGACGGCTACACCACCACCACCGCCACCACTACCACCACCGCCAGCAACAACAACAACAACAACAACAACAACAGCAGCAACCTCCACCATCGCCGCTATTACCACCACACCACCAATAACAACAACGGTTTCGAAGGCAACCAGCACCACCAACGCAACAGTGGGTACAACTTCGGGTACGGTTACGGCAGCAGTAGCAGTAACAACAGCAACAACCTCGGTGGGAGGGAGCCCCGCTTTCAGTCAGCAGACCGACACTCTCGGCACTTGGCCGCAGCCTCGTCGGGCGTAAGGGCTTCGGAGATGCGTGCTCCCGCTGCCCTTGGGAGAAACGTTGGCGCTTCGATGCGGGGTCCACCACAGCAGCCGGGACCAGCCTTGGGCGGAAGTTGGAGAAACGGCGGCGGAGGGGGCAGGGGGGTTGTGAGTGGGGTAGGCGTGGGGGGGAGGCCAGGAGGCTCGACGCCCGCGTTCCGGCGACGCACAGAGGAGTTGACGCCGATGGAGAAATGCTGGATGCTCGTGGACTTCGCGCGGAAGGATGGCTTGCCGACGGTGCGTGCACCTTGCGGCGTTGTTGATTTGATGGTGCCTTGTCGTCGTCATCGCTGTTGTTGCTGGACTGGCGTCTGCTCTTGGAAAAGCGGGTGCGCGGATGCTTATGTCCGCGGCCCTACCGAGGCAAAAAATCCAGTGTACTCTCGTTGCAATATAGGGGATTGATGCGCTCCCTAAAGTTACTCGTTGTTCGAGTCCATACGTGGTCAGCAGAGCCCAGATATATTTACCGTAATATACGATAGTGGTTCCAGCATTTTGCTCAATGATTTTGTGGAGTCGTTTGGGGAGGGTACGCCTGGCGCCTTTCTAGCTGGAAACTCACCCCATTTACAGGCCTCGCTTCTGTAGCTCCCCCCCCCACACGGATCCCTGGTCTTTTGTGTCGATGCCTCGACAAACTTACGAGCAAAGGAGCACGTCGCTCTTGGAATGCTACGCTACCGTCACACCCCTTGTGTCCTCTCCCGACGCTGATTCTGCTGTTGCGTGCTGTGATTGGCCAGGACCGAGTGGAGTATCTGAAGGGACTGTTGAGGACCCACGAGAAGAAGAGCATGACCTTTAGGATGGTACGTACGTCACGGTGGACCGATCACGCACAGATAGGGGGAGAGAAATGGGGGGGGGGGGGGAGTCAGACAGAGTCAAGGAGACAGAGAAATCTTGTATCAGGCGCAACATTCCAAAGCGGTGCTTGATTTTGTTGACGGGCAACAAACCCACCACCTGATGTTGCATTACCAAAGGGTCGTTCGGGCTCCTCGATACGCATGCTGCACCTCTCCGTCCCCGCAACTGTTCCCTGGCTGATTGCTACGCTTGCTAACTCTACCCCGACTTTTGCCCCGTGGAACTGGTGTGGATCGTTTGTTGGAAACTTGATCGGGTCGGGCCCCGAACGGAACGGAACGGGACGGAACGGAACGTCCACTGTGCTCTTCAGCTCACGGAGCGAACGGACAGCTGCCTCTACGACAGGGAAGACATCCAAAAGGGCTTCGTCGAGTGAGTGGCCGCCATCGCCCTAGTTACACCTAGATGCCTCCACCCCCGGTAGGACGTGGTACCTTTTTTTGTCGAAGTCGGAGAAAGTGTGGAATGTAAATCCACACGCAGCTCCTGAATTGTCCCGTTCACATCTGCTGTAATTCAACTGAACCCCCCCACTCACCCCCCAACCCTCTCTCACCACAAGTGGTGAGCCGGAAGTAGCCCTCGCCAGCAAAAAACACGGAAAACATTTGGATGCATACTGCGTGCGTTCTTCAGGCTAGACGGAGAGTGGCGGGGAGGCCGCTGTTGGGGGTACGATTGATCGTCAGACCGTCCCACACACCCCTCCCTGCTTGCTTCTAATTATATGGCCCATGGGCAGCACTTGCACGACTGCAAGGCAGGTAGCTTGAACGGAAACCCAACCACGGCACACGTCGGGACGGCACCAAGAAAACCCCCTATCATGTACCCCAAGCTTGTTTTTCTTCTAGAACCACGACGGCACAAAGTACCGCCTGCTGGTGCGTCAGCACGCCCGCGCGCCTCTCTCCGTGTCTAACACCGGTTGGCCTCACTTTGCCCCCACTCCCCCCCGCCCACCGTGTCCTGTTCTTTTTATTTTTTTCGCGCTTTTTCTCGTCCCATCTTTCAGGATCTTCGGAGAGATGGAGCTGCCCGACCCTCGCAGCAGCGCCTACCGCAACGCTGCCGCCGTCGCCCTGCCCGGGGCCGACTACACGACGGGCGGGGGCTACGGCGTGAGCTCCCGCCCGAGCAGGTCCGTTGGTCACGGCGGCGGCGGCGGCAACGGCAACGGTAACGTTATCGCGTCGTCCTACTACCTCCACCACTCGGGCTCCTACAGGAATGGTGGCGGCGGCGGCGGCGGCGGGGCTGCTGCTACTGGCTACTTGCATCACGCGGCGACGGCGGCGGCGTTACCTTCTGTCGGCGACGTAGCCATGAGGGTGGGGTCGAACGGGCTAGGGAGGCGGGTGTTGCCGCCGCCGTCGGCGCTGGGTCTGATGTCCGGCATGCGGAGGCTTGGCGAGGGAACTTCCATGGCGAGGTTGTCGAGCGGCGGCGTGGTGCCGACCGCGGCCCGAGGAGCAGCAGCGGCGGCGTCGATGGCGTACCCGACGTCTGCTCCCGTCGCGGCAGGAGCTTCTCTTTGAGAACGAGCGGCGACGCGCGCCTTGCGCGGTGTTCGTCCAAAGCATGGTGTCCACTCCTTTCCACCACGGAGTTGTCGCTGGTAGTCGAGAAGGCCTGGCCTGGACTGGCGGCGAATGATGGAGCAATTTTGGAATTTCCACGTGTACAAACGAGCCGGCTCCCTTTCCTCTCCTGCTGGTGCGATTTTGGTGCCCGGTGAAAACGAGCGTGGAGGCTGACGGTGTCGCTATTGGTGGGGGGTACTGACGCGTAGGGTGGATCAACTGTGGGCCGGCAACGGCAGCGCGTGTCCAGGGAGGCCGGAGTGGACTGTCCGAATACATAGGGAGGCGTTGCGTCACCAGTTGCTCGAAGCCATCCCCCGAGGGACCGATGGAAAGCCAATGCTTGGATGGTAAATCTGCCAGCATCGATCAGTGCGGAGCTGGAGCTGGGTTCTTGGCGCTTACCCAACCCCCTACGTGCCGTGGAATTTCAGAGGGATCTGCGGCTGTGGGAATGAGTGAAGATGAAATGCAAGATTCATTCAACAACGGGACGTGTTGTGGTAAATCGGGGCGGGCTCTGAGTACGGGGGAGTGATGGTAACTCTCGCGTCGGCTCAAAACTTCGAAGATACAGGGGGCTGTGGCAAAAAAAGAAACGACCTTCGGAATTCCGGGCAGCATTGCCGGGCGATCGATACGCATGGTGTGTTTGGAAGTTTTCCGAAGCGGTGAGCAGATAGATGTTGGCAGACCACGTGCTGAGCGCACCCCGCAAAAGCCGTGAGAAGCCGTGAGGCTCTCTCTGCTCTTCGTTGTTCAGAGTCACATCACACCCGTTTTTTAGGCGGAAACGAACATATCATTTGGGCGTTGTTAGAAGGAGGGGTTTGCGAAATGGGGGTGGAGGAGTCCGTACGGACGGCAGCCATGCGGTTTTTTCGGCGTGCTCAAAAGACGAGATGTGGAAGGGAGGTGCAGAGAGGGATTCGGATGGTAAACGTGTCGTAAAAATTTTTGAGGGGCGCACAGTTTGATTGATCAAAGGGGGAGAATGTTTGTTTCGGTGAGACGGGACGTTGAGGCACACGTTGTGTTGTGGGGCCGGGACTTAAGGCCACCCGGCGTCCGATTTGTAAGGAATGCGTGCGTGCGTGGAATGCCGAGTTAAGCTCGCACGGAATAGGATTGGCATATATGGGTAAGCACCGTTTGCAAGGCAGGCCTGCGTGCCACGTAACAAAACAGGAACTTGCACTGCACCCTATTCCATTGGAGTGCACTAGAATGCATTTTACTGTAGGGGCTTTCCACACGACTACGTCAGGAGCGCCGTCGTTGTTGCTGCTCCATCCCTTTGTTTTCTGTACATAGAGAGCGAACTTCTCAAGGCGTGGTCTGCGATCAAGTCCTAGGCGCGATGGAGCTGGTTACGTCAGGGTGGGGGGGCAAGCTGGGAGGAAAATAAAAAAGTCACGCACTTAAAACTTGGGGGTGTGATACTGAGCCTTGCTGCGCAGCAGGCGCGCGTCCTCGTATCTTGAGGAACTTAATGTACAATGGTGGCGGGATGTCGACGACTATGTAACGGAGATGCCGCCACGCCTACCGACGGAGGAGGTTCTCGGCGCAAGGCTGTGTGCCGTCGACGCTAGTGGGCTCTTCATGTAGTACCGGGGAGGAGGTGTAGGGGAAAGCGGAACTCAGCGTACCCCCGAACGCGAGCAGGGTTGTTACACATTGAGTGCAGCGAGTCGTACGCAAAACGCTTTCGTGTATGTTTATGTGTGACGGAGGTGTTTCCTCGGTTGGTGTTGGGGTATCGGCCCGGGCGTGAGTTTTTTTTTTTATTGGTTGGAACTTTTTTTGCGTGCCAATTTTGAAACGCGAATGGATCCAGTGAAGGAGCGAGCGTCTGTCTGTGTGGTTATCACGCTCTGAAGATCTGGCGGCGGTCTTTTTTGTGTGGGTGTTTTTTTTTTCTTGTTAAATTTGAGGTGTTGTCATTGAGCGTTGTTGGTGCCGTGCCGTGCCGCTTTGTTGTGGTGCAGTCTGCATACATACTGGAAAACGCCACTTCATTTTCTAGAATATAGTCTAAGCATGCAAAAGCACATAATAACAGACTATGTAGTACCCGTTCGATATATCACCACGGGTCGAAGAGGGCGTGTTGAAAGTCTTTGGCACTTTGTTGTCAAAATGATACATGTGACGTGGTTGGTCAGTATCGTCCGATAGGCTCTTCCGGCGGAAATGGAACAAAAAATGAGTGCAAACGAGAACAACTACGGTGACATGCAGTATACTGCTGGATTGTTGAAGAAAAAAAGGACGAGGGCGGCCACAAGGGCGGCACAATACAGCACTACCACCAGTTGTTGCGCGAGCAAGCACAACTCAAGCCGCAAATAAATTCTGGTGGTTCCGAAGTCTGTCTGCAAAACATAACAGAAAAAAACAGAAGAAGCGGAAGACGACGTGACGACATAGTAACCATCCCCGTGTCTCCTCGTCGCTCGCCAAACAGAGAGAAAAAAAGAATGGTGAGCCAGCCCTCGGTTTTTTCTATTTATCAGGTTTGTTTGTCCTTATATAAGCGACAGCAGCAGTTGACTACAGTATGGAACCGAATCGAACACAAAGGTTTCTCGCCTTTATTATGCATTCGTTTTTCCCACGCTTTTCTGGGAGGTCGTGGATCATGACAGAGGCAATCACCACCGGCACCCTTTCGCGGCGGTATGTATGTATGTGTGGGTGGGTGTTATCATCCTTTGTTGCTTTCTTTGTATTTTCGTCGACCAGGCCTCCACCCCTCCACCCTCCACGCGCCCTACAGCAAGCAGTCATCAGTACACTCTCTACTGTACATACGCACTACCGGAATGCCCGTGATAACCCCTTCCTCGTCGGTTTATATCGCTGACCAAGCAGTAGACACACACGTGTACACAATCCACGATCAAAACCCACGTAATACTAGGTACTGCTGTGTTTGATTGATGTTGTTGGGGAGCGGTCAGAGGCAAAACAATGCCAAGACCCCCCGCCACGATCGATAAAATAACAACAACACCATGTGGTGAACTGCTGTGCTGCCAACATGTACATATGCTATAGTCTATAGCAGTTATAGTTATGGTATACCAGGTAGTCGATATAGCCGTAGATGGAACAATCAAGCAAGAGACACACACACGGCGGAGCACACAGCAGAAGAAGAAGCACAGCCTCATAGAAAAAAGGTGCTACAATTAATTAATTGCAGGTCTTTTACTTAGTCGGCACATTATGGCTTTAGCATTTTTGTGACCACGGGCAGAGTCTTTGCTAGATTTTGGGATTAGCAACTGACACGAGTTTAATGTGAAGAAAAACAACAACAACAACATTACTGCCTGTACGTATTACGTTACCCAACCCTGAATATCAAGCTGTTTTACCAGGGATTGGTCATGCTGTAGGTCGAACGGGATAAGATAGATGAAGGAATGGACATGTCACCTATATATATAATACCGCAGTACCTTGTGCATGATGCGCGCCACACACATCACACTAATAACCGGCTGACCAATGAACGCGGTCGATGCTACAATAATAAACACACATCACACATCACACACACGCAGCACGCAGATAGATTCCCAAGGAATTCGGAGAAGAAGCGGCACAACTTTGTAGCCTGCTGCATGCAATAATGTGGTCGGTTAGATAACACCGACAAACGCGTCCAAGACTTAGCTTCCAGCCAGCGGGGGAGAGAGAAGAAGTGCTTGGCACGGATGTTAACACGCAACAGAAAATGAGATATGGTATCTACGCAACCATTCAAGATAGCACTGGACGAAGAATGTGGGCAAGTCTCGGGGCAATAAACGTGCAGGGAGAGAGAGACTCTTTCGATCTCCACCAGTCTCCACCACAGACTACGTGTACATTGCAGCACCACAACAGGAAATAACCACAGACTTATCACACGAAAGAATAATGCGTCACCGAGAGGGCAGAGAGTTTCATCACGACGGCATTCATTCGTCTGACGCCTCGAGAAGGCCCATATGCCATCTGAGGGCTAGCTGGGGCGCACCTGTCGTTTGTCACTTTTCGTGAGGCAATAATTTGATTTTTTAGTTCTGAAAGTTTCATTGCCGTCCTTTTTTTGCTCTGGAGAACTGATTGGTCAGCCCACTGCGTACTTCCCGCACTCCGAAAAGAGTGGGCCAACACACACAACCAACGTCTGCTCGTCCACTAAACGACCGCACACATTCACGTCCCCTGGCGGGTGAGACTCCACCTCGACCCTGCCGCAGCTCGGGTATAGCTGGGGCTTCCCCGCTCGCCCGACTTGTTGGGAGCGCTACAACGTCTCCGGCTTCGAAAATATTGCACACACCAAGCTGGGGGTGTTGTGTTGTTTCACTGGTCGCTCTGTCACTAAATAAATACGTCACATAAAGAAAAGAAACTAAATAATGGCCGAGCGGGAGGCATCATCGTCAGCTGCTGATGTCGAAGAAGAACGCCGGCTCCCCAGCGGAGGGCGGCGACGGTACGTCGGCTCAGTGGAGCTGGGCGGCGCGGCCGGGCAAGTCAACACCAACGACGTCGTCGAAATCGCGGATCAACCAGGTCGCCAACAACAAGGCGCCGTGGCCCAGGTACGTTCCGAGTCCACGTTCGGCGGGGCGGGAGAAGCAGCCCACCTGTACAAGGAAGGCCTGTAGGAATTGTAACTTCAGGGCTGTTTTGGGGACCAGGGGGTGTCTGCAAAGTACGGAATTTGCGACTACATGTGTCATGGGATGAGGACGGAGGCAGAAGACAGCGTCTGCCTGCTGCCGTAGACCTTAGGCTGTGGTCGAGGTTCCATGTAGCGCCAAGACGAAAACATAGCATGGAGGAATCCGTGGTTCTGGGTACGTTTCCTTCGGACTACAACGTACTGAATTACGAACTCCACCTGCTGTCATGTGAAGTCGACCCGGTACGACATATTTTATCGATGTTCTCCTCAAGACTGGCGATCCGGCTACTTCATATGCATACGTCATCTATTTGCTGGTAAGATGCCCGGCAAGGGGGAATGGTTCGGCGGGGGCGGCTGTCTCTCTCCGGTATTTTTGTATGCAACCCCAGTTCGGAGAGGCAATGAGAAATGGCCAAAAAATTAAAGCGAAAACGCCGTGTTCAAGAAGAGGAGCGGGGCGACTTGTTGGAGGTAAAGTATGTGTTGAGTTACTTTCTTTTTTTCTCTCTCCCAAGAACAGCTCCACACCTCTCCATCCATCCGTACATTTGAAGTCCAGGATACCAAACTGCAAATTCGTGCGAAGCGACCGCTGGGTTGACAGGAACGTTCCTAGTGCTGAGACCTACCTGTGGTATCGGGGTACACACTACTAACATGTCCATGTCCCAGTGGCCGGTGCTTGTGTCTGTGGGTGTTATACTCCGATGTACAGCAGCAGTAGTACAATTTTTTTCTTTGTCTGGCCGTCAGTCTTCTCGCCTACAAGTGTACTACATGCTGGACGGATCAGCCAAGGTCTCGCATCTCGCAGGAGCAACACTGCTGTACCACAGGTTTTTAGAAAGTACGCATAATCTCACAGAAAGACCACCCGTTCATGACAATACGGTTTTGTTTCTGTTTATGCTCTCCCTCTTCCTTCTCCGTAAATTTATACTCCGTATCAAACTCTGGTCCTTTCCGATTATTATTGTCCCCGTGAACAGGTTTGGAAGACAGTATGCAACGACACCAAGGGTTGCGAATAATTTTTGTTACACCTATATCTATTGTAGTTACTCACCTTTCTTTTTTGGAGGATTTGGAGGGGGGGGGAGGGTACCCCCCGAACGCCATACATACTAAATCCTACCAGCAATTGGACATGGGTTAGTCGACCCTAAGAGATGGGAGAAGTCCGTTCGGAGCCGTTCGGAAAGGCGACCCAGCCATTCAAATTCCTATATATGTGAAGGGGCACCGTCTCTGTATAGGAGGGGTATCGTGCATTTTGGTGCCGCTAGCCGTGTGCGCTCGTCCGCCCTCGCTGCGCCTGTACGCTGTACTGCGCACCACACCTAGACGACGAGACGGAGGGCATGATCAGCGCACCCTCAGGGGGTGTCATAGGGCTAGCCCGGGCTGTTGCGGCGCAAGACTGCAGCCAAAGGTGTTCTCGACCCGCAGTAGAAGAAGTAAACTCGGAGTCCAACGAAGAAAGGGAGAGGGCATTGTGAGGAAGAGGGACGGGGTGTGTGTGTGTGTGTGTGTGTGTGTACTCATAGTCGTGCATGCCGTAGTCGTTTGACCATTGACCTCGCATCCCTACAAAGCCGGGACGGAGCACGCCGGGTTCTCACCGGACCAGGCTAGGGGGGGTAAGGTGAAGACGAGGAGGAGGAAAGGGAGAGGAGGAGCAGAAGGGGGTGGAGCAGGAGGAGGAGAAGGAGAATGAAGAAGCGGGGCCGGACGTGCGCTCGACGGGGCCTAACCTCGCCCCGGAACGGCGTCCGTTGGCGTAGTTAGTTGTGCGTGCGAGGATGTCGGAAAGTGGTAGGCGGAACGGTAGGTACGTACCGCGGTTTCCGTCGAGTTTTTTGGGGTTCTTTTCGTGCACGCGCGTTGAGGCGTGATGCATATCCGGCCTTTGAGAGTCACTGAAAACTGATTCGACGATGTCGTGTGGATGATGTGTGTGGCTTCTCCAACGACACCACGTTACGCAGGCATGTAAGACGCACATTAGTGCCAAACTGCTGTGTTTTATCCGTGTACGACAGGTTAAACAGGTTTGACTTGCACTTGTATTGAACATGGGGAAAAGAAGAAACGTTTTCTAAAATTGGGCCCTCTCGAGGGGGGGGGTGGGGACCTAGGTGTGCGGGATAGCTTTTGTCGCACACCCTCAACGACACGGTAATGTTTCTAATCGTGAACGGTACCAAGACATGCTAGTTTGAGGGTTCAGCGGCAAAGCAAGCGGGGGTAGACCACCAAATTAAAGAACTACAGGACCGTGGCGATTCACACATTCACTAAAGATAGTTGGAGGCCCTATATAATGGCCGCATTGTGCCACGAGATTGATCCGGTCTTACAGAGGGCACCCGGCCTTATTATTATGATCGGCCCTGTTTAAGGCCGGTATCGGCCTTATTGAAGACCCGTGCACCTACTGCAGGCGAAACGAAGCGGACGATACAGTTTGAATCGGTGCTTTGCTATCACGTTCATGCTATGCTTCCCATACTGACCTTTGTTCGTCTCTCAGGTACAAACATGTCCAACCAGTGAGAAATGATCATCTCGGCAGACAAACATGAATACTGTAGTAATAAAGAAATACCATGGTAGAAAAGAATGTAAAGGAATAGAGTCCGTACGCATTTATGTAATCTAAGAGGCGAACACCTGAGGTAGGGAAAACAGGTCAAGCGAGAAACGCTTTCAACGGCTCAAGCCGGCACGCGGTAGTTCGTACCTCCGCCCAAAAATACGCCCCCACTCAAAAACGGATAGGCAAATGTCCATCAAGTTGTCGTACACCCCTTGTTGTTTTGCAACCCCAAAGTAACAGCCGACCTGCCGTACTTCCGAGAAACGACTGAAACGGCACATGCAACGGCACAGACTGCCCACTCCTGACGAAACCTCCTGAAAATGAACGAGGCCACCGCCGACAGAGCAAACGCTGCACAAGGCATGTGTCGGGAGAGGACGTGCTGCTAAATAGTTCCGCGAGACTTTGCACTAGCTGTACGCGAGAGAGGGTGTAATATGCGGCGAAACCAGCGTCATTTCCACGGAGACCGGCCGTATTGGGGGCCGGCGGAGGCAATATCCGGCCTTGTACACCTGGTACGCAATTTCCAACTGGTAAACACGAAGAGAAACAAGTTGCCGGCACGACATACTGGCGGTAAGCGACAAAAGCCAAACAAGGCAGTAAGAAGCCAATTGCCGTTTACCGCCGGTAACAGCTTTGGACAAGAAACGCTTTCAGTGTATTGTTCGAGCATACGTGTATTGCAGACACGTGCTCTTTTCCTGTCACTGCGCTAAGATTCGAACCCACGTCGTAAAGGTATTAAGGTTGCGAGGTTACTCACGGTTGCCAACCCTATGATATATGTACAGTAGAGCGAGCCACGGATGCGTGTGACCAATCCTTTTTTTTTTTTGTCGTCCCATTTTTTCTGGACATCTGTCCTCCTCGCGCAATCCGGCACAATCCTAGACGCACGCCCGGGACACACAGGAGGAAGGCCACGCAGGAGTTGATTGTACTCTCGACCTTCCCTCTACGGTGCTCGCCTTGATGTTTATGTGTCGCGAAAAGGATCCAGCCGTTCCTTTCCCTCGTGGACTGTCAAGTCCAATTTCCGCGTGGGCACGAAATTATCGCTTTCCACAGCTGTTTTTGGTCATGTTGTGAGAAAAAACATAAAATACATTTATTTTGACTGAACCAAGATTCGAACCCCAAGTCCTAACGTCAGCAGGTTGCGAGGCTACCTACTGAACCTGTCAGGATCATTGCCGCGTGATTGGCGGTCTTTATGAGATAGACACGGAGACTTTGTTATGTATCCGATACGACAAAATACAGCAGGATACCGACAATATCTCGCAGCATGGCCCGTCCTAAACCCGGCCGGAGAGTTGCCTGGCGTGGGGCGCATGGGGGTACTCTGCGGAGGAGGTTGTAAAACATCAGGCCTGTTAGCCTAGGCTGCTCTTAAGTCGATGGACATGTAAGCTTTTAGGTTGTGTATTACCGGTCGTCTCAAGGGTAGAGGCAGAGAGATAGGGCGGCCCCGTGAGGGACCACACAAGCCCATAATGCCAAGAGTCAGAACCATGGAACGTACAAGACTCGGGGGCCGGTACACAACATTCGCAGTTGGACGAAACCATGTCGACACAGCACGCTCATTGCGTTTTCAGATTTTCGACCGGAGAACATACCACGTGCGTCTGATGTATGCATATATGCTATCGACCGTGAGCAGTGTCTTGATTGCTGTGCGCTGAACCTCGCTCCTGGCGCGCTTTGGCCCGTTTCACCCGTTGTTTGCGGCCTTCCCTTCTTCCCAGGTGCTGTCGATGTGGGAGGATGATTTAACGGGGGCGGTTAAGTTCCGCGCGCGATGGCTGGTGCGCTCCTCGGATCTGTCAAAGGAGGCCTTGTCAAGGCTTCGAACGGGCCGCAGCCGGTCTGCGGGCGACGGCAGCGGCGAGGAGGAGCCAGATTTGAAAGGCAATTCTTTGCCCGATCAATCTCGAGAGACGGACGACGACGACGGCGAGGTTTTTCTCACGACCAAGGAAGAAGATCTCGACGCGGATGCAATGGTGAAGCCAGTAGCGATCTCTGTGGCCGCGAGCGCGACGATCGACACCCTTCGAAAACCGAAGCGAAAGACTGGGCCCCGACTTACCCACGCCTTCGACGCTTCCTCCGGCGACTTTACCCCCGTGAAGGATACGCACGCAATCATCACGCGCGCCAGAGCTCGCCAGGCGGAGGGCCTTGCAAGCGCATCAAGTGTCCCCGAGAACAGCGCTGCTGGGAAGGGCAGTAAGCCCGTGGCACAGGGTCGCCCGTGGTTTCTACCAAAGCGGAAAGAAAGTCAGGCGGCTGGCCGCGGGAGGGACATGGCGGAAACGCCAGCGCGTGGCACCAGCAGGGAACAAGATTCTAGTGTCAACAACGGGCATCCTAGCGTCGCCACCGACTCGGAGGACCGGGGGATTGAGAAGGACGAACACCAAGAAGGCAGCGACGACAACGACGACGAGAAAAAATCAAGCAGAGTTAGCGACGCTGCGGCCGCTTCCGCTCCCCCCGCCTCCGCCGACAGCAGCAGCGATGAAGCCTTTACACCGAGGAAGTCGGGCCGGCAGAAGAAGCTTCGGCAGTCGCCGAACGGCCGCGAGGCTGTGGAGGTTCCGTGGCACGGGCGCCGTCCCGGCGTTTCGGAGGTTGAGCGCCAAGGACCGCCTCGCCCCGCTCGTTCTCGACGCCTGGTGATGACTGCCGCAGACCCCCCTCGCACTCGACGCCTGGCGATGCCTCCCGCGGATACAGCAGGGGCCGCTGCAAAGTGTGCAGAGGGCGGCGCCGTGCCCCACGCCGCCGACGTGAGAGGGTCCCCTGGCTCTGTGCGGACGCGCCGGTCTGCCGCGGGTGCAGCGGGAGCTCCGCCGTCGCTGATGGGGGGCTCAACGGCACCTACCGCCAAGCTAATACTTTCGGGCAAGAGGAAGCGAACTCCCACCGCCAAGCGCATGGAGGGGGACAACGAGTCATGCGAGGCAGAAGCGCCTGATTTCATCCCGCCCCGGCGGACTCTCGTCGGTGAGGACCACCAGGTGGATATTCCAGACGTTCTGCCTGCCGAGGATAGAAGCAAAGCGGCGGCGGCAGGCCGTGCCGAAGGGACCGGCGCCGAGATGGTGAGTGGCTATGCTCGGCCGTCGGGACGGTTTTCTCGTGTCAGCGTCGAAGAGCGGCTGGGAAAAGAAGGCCTCGTGTGCTGCCTATATACATTCCGTAGAGGTCGCGAGTACTGCTGTGTGCGCTTGCCCCGGGTTTCGCCTTACTTGTTGGGTCGGCGGGCGAATTTCTGCAGCCCAGCATTCGCGAAGAAACACGTTCAAAAGGAAAACAAAGAATGAGCACGTCGACACGACAAGCAAGCGATGTGCCGGGCGTAGCTTGGCATCCAAGGAAGGGCTCACGAGCCTCCCATACGGTTGATTTGGCGACAAAATCCACGGCGGTATTTCCTCGAGTTTTTCGGTCCACAGCAGCTACGCTCTGTGTTGTTCATGATTTGTTCTCTACGTTACGCAATATTCTTGTGGGCCATTCTTAGTGACTTTTCGTCGTTCGGTCTGGCCTGAGGGGACTCATCCTGAGTGCTAGGTATGTGCGTGTGTGCATCACAGGGGGGTAGCTGCTAGTCACATGAGCCAGCAGCGCTTTGTCGACTGCAGGCGAACGGATGCCTACGGCCTCCACGGGCGTGTCCTATGGCCAAAGGGCGTGCCCCCTCACGTGTTTTTCGTACGCCTCAGAGGTGTCCCAAAGATGTCGGCGCTGCACGGCCTGACAGAACGCATAGGTTGCAGGCTCCCGGTTGTGTCTCAACCCGTGCCGGACCTTGACGCCACATCTCTTAACTAACGGTCAGGTCTGGCAAAGTGTCCGCGATTGGGACCCGCACTCCCGTGGCATGTTGGCGGGGTACCTTCAGGCAGCCAACACTATGGTCAGGTCGAAGCAGGCCCGCCCAGGGGTGGCTATTCACGTGCGCCTCGGCGGCAAGAATGACGATGGCGGCGGCGGCGGCGGCAAGAATGGCGGTGGTGGCGCCAGCACCAGCAATGGCAACAACAACAGCTTCGCCGTGTGGGCGCTCACGACTGGCGTTAGCAGCGCCGCCGGGGACGTTCGAGTTGCGTGCTCGGAGATCGCCCAGACGGAGATTCCAGCCTCTGCCATCCAGAGGGTGCAGGCAAGGGGGTGACTTGGGGGTTCCCGGCGAAGAAACTATTGAACCGTTTTTGTGTCCTCGAGTCCCCTTTGATGAGAAACACCGGTCTATCTCCCAAGCCCTGAGAGGCCGTTCAAAAAATTTAGGAGCCACTCCCGTACCCGTTTACGAACGGGTGTGCGCCACGGTCATGGGCGCTTTTTCGTTCAGCTGACAGGGGACCTGGGGGTCTCCCTGGCGGCTGGCTGACTCAGTCTTGCCGTTCGTTTATCCTTTCCTCTTTTATCGTGCGTGCAACACACAGTGCGAAGAAGCGGCCCTGGAGGCGCTGGTGAAAACGAACTGCGTCCTTGACAACTTCGAGCCGGCCCTCAAAATGCTGGCGGATAGCACGACGTCGCCGGAGAGCTTACAGCCGTGGTCGCTGGATCAGGTATGACCCAAGTCCGAGTGCCCGTTTAGCGTTGGAGATGGCGATCTCTGTCAGAGATGGCGATCGCTGTCTGCTCGAAGGATGCCGCCCATTGCACATGCAGGAGACTCCCCAATGGAAGCGGGTAGACCATCAAGCAGTTTCGGCGGTTGAACTTGTCCTTATTAATTTTCAGACGGATACGCGTGGACCCTTTTGATTATTGCTACAGGTTAGAACCCTCGAGGCCGCGCTGGACAAAGATTTTGACGTCAACGGGCGTTCGCAGGGCTGGGCTCGACCCGGGATAGACATGGACCGTGAGGACTGCATAGACATCGCTAAAGTTAGCAAGGAGGTCCCGGGAAAAACGCCCGCACAGGTGCAGTACAATGAACGTCCTCTTGGCGTGCGCTTGCAAGTGAGCGCAGGTTGTTGTCGGCAGTTGAAGTTTGAGCCACCGTTTCCACGTAGTGTGAGCGGTTGCGCGGGTTGGTTGCCTAGCGCGAACGCGTACTCTTTGTGCGTCGTTAACCTTGTTTTGCGGTCTATTTGGTCTTGATCTTTCGATAGGACCTCCTTGTATGACTCCACTGTCAACGCTCCTACGTGCTTGTTGTTGCGTTGTCTTCTTGCCCCCCTCCCCTCTCCCGGAAACGGCAAGGTGTTGCAATTCTACTTCAGATATCTTGCTGCCGCAAGGCCTCTGACAGATGTCGTCTACGGTCCAGAGGTGAGAGGATGTTGCGGCCTTGTATTATGTCTACCAAACCTGACGCATATGGTTCAATTCTACGGGGTATCGAAAGACCTGCACATGCCTCCCGCCCGAGTATTTTCTATTCTCTCTTTCAGTTTGCAGATATGTTTTGGTGATTCTTGATTTTTTAGGCCCTGGTGCGCGAGGTGGATCCCTTGAAGTGCACCATGAGTGTACCTAATCGTAATGCTACCGCTGAAAAAGACTCCGTGGGAAACTAGACGTGCAACCTGCGCGTCGAAGTTGGCAGTGTCAAGGGCATGCGTGTTAACTCGAGGGAGGAGCTCCGTCGTAGCACAGCATGTTTCTTGGCATGTTCCGGGAACCCTTTTCTGAGCTATATTATCGCGGTGTAAATATGGTTCGAGTCTTGTATGTGATTGGATCGTGGGAACCGGGATGGACAATGTTGCCAATGTCGCCAAAACCGTCCTTCTCGACGAAATGTGAGCACCTATATATTTTTACCAAGTCCAGTTTGTGATTTGCACCAGGTATTTGACACAGTAGGCAGCAGAGAAAACGGTGAGCGTCATTGAAAAAACGGCCGCCCAGAATCGAGGCATCTGTTTGACGACGTTCGTCAAGGGTGTCCCTCCGCGTCTTTTAAAACGCGAAGCACTCTTCGAATCACGTTTTCACGACGAGCGACACCGAACCTTGGGTGGGGGAGATGCCTCAACTTGCTTCATCTCAAAGGAGAACAAGAAGCGAGACACTGTTGAGAGTCTCGGTCATGATCCTGCCTTCCTTGCCAAGCTGCTTTACACCTGTGCGGTTTGTGCCGACACCCCGAGCACAAGGCCCTGGCAACAACCTGCCCAAAGTTTCCGAGTGCTCGATGGCGGACCTCTCTCTCTCTCTCTCTCTCTCTGGCTATGCTGCATTATCACATCCTTCCCCTTGTGACGTATGTATCGCTTGTAGGCGGCCGAGGCACGAAAGAGAGAGAAGCTCTCAGGCGACGACTCGGACGTGGAGGTACCGGTGACCCCTCGGGGGGCCGCCGGACGACCCGCCCGAAGCGGCTCAGACACCACTCCGTCCCGTCGTGTCACGAAGCAAGAGCCTGCCGGAACGCGCAGAGTCAGCCCCTCTCCTAACGGCAGCGAAGAACCCCGCGAGGCGACCACGAGCCCGAAAGGCACCGGGTCGCGCACGGCATCGACCTCCGGCCTGTCAATGGGGGGCGACGGCCCGCGTACCGGTGACGATGGTAGCGGCAGCACTCACGGGACACGAAAAGACCGCCCCTCGGGAGGGAACGAAGCGGCTCCCGGGCCCCTTCCGCGTGACGCGGGGGGGGTACTGCAGGTAAGAGGGGCAATAACAATGTTGTTTCGGTTCGATGTGCGGCGAGTTCGTTCCCAGCCCGTTTTGGAAGCACACGCCTCCGCACCGACTGCGTGTGTACACCGTGACTGGTGAGGCGGTGCACGTGCCGTTGATGGCTCGGCTCTGGCTTGCTCTTGCGCGGAGGAGACACGCCCCGAGAGCTTTGGAAATTGTCGGCCCTGCCCACAAGCTTCACTGTCTTTCTTGTTTCTCCAGGCTGGTGTTTTGTTCAGAGCAAACCGGTCGGCAGGGCGCAACCCGTCAAGGTTATCTGGAGGTCATTCCAACCACGGCGGTACTATAGTTCTTCCCCACGTACGCATATTACCGTAGGTTGCATAAGATGCCACACCCGCAGGACGGATTTCCTGAGCTCGACCACTCCACGACATCCAGGATGCCAAAACCAAATGAGACGTTTTGGGAAAGCTCTCGACGAGACGGATCCAACGCCCCAATTTTCGGCACCGCCACTGATTTTTGCTCCAGAATGGTCGAGCTTTCAAAAGCGGTTCCAGGGGGTGTGGTATCTTACGCAACCTACGGTATCCAGCCACACCCACACAGCAGTTCCACGTGCACGTGCATGGGCAAGTTTCCGAGTCGTGGCCGCTCGTTGCACCCGGGTGTTCACAGGCGGACAGCGGTGATGATAGAAGCAATCATCGCACGTCTCGAACATCAGCACCTGTCGCTCGTGGCCCTGGAGAGCAAGACTCACGGTCCAGCCAGGCTGTCCCTCAGAGGAGGGCTGTGTGGCGGCCTATATTAACCCCAGGTGGGTTGGACACGTACGCGGCTCAAAGGTTGCTCATCAATGGCGGTCTTGGGGCTGGTGCTACCAGCGAGAGTGATGGCACGTGTGCAACAGGGAACAAACAGCGGGGGGGGGGGGGTCCAAGTGCGGTAGATGATGGAACTCAATGCCCTGGTACAATGATGTTGGTTGGCGTAATGCTTGAAACGTGCGGTGGGCGTACGCAAGCATGTCTTTTGGCGTGATACCCCGCGAGGTTCTTAAAAGTTAAAGGATTTACGTCCCTCATTCGTGGCGATATTACCAAACGTGCAACCGACGTTTGTCCTTTTGTATTTGTCGATTGTGGCTGTTCCGGCTCGATCGATCCTCCCCGCTTTTGCACCCACCAGCGCCAAATCAGCGCCCGTCGGAAGGACTTTCGATGCCACCGCGCTCGGTGCCGGGCAGAGTACGAGACCAGCGTTCTGATGGTGGGAGTGATGTGGTCATGGCAGAGGGTCGGTCAGGCTTTGGTGGAGGTGACCAAGTGTTTGGGTTCATGGCTCCGTGCTGGCATCTGTTGGAGAGGGCGCAGGCCTACATGGACCCGGTAAGAACTTTCCCCCTCATGGTGAAACGCCGCGTTTTTTCCCACAGTTTTGTCGTTCATGCCCCTTTTTTTTTGTGATATGTCGCTGTTTTTGGTGTTGACGTTCACTCGCCTGCCTGGGAGCGTGGCTCATACGATGAGGCCGATCCACATGCGGCGAAGTCCTCGTTGTGGGGTATCGAGAAGGAGCAAGAGAATCGACGTGTGCCAGAATCCAGGCCTTATTTGGGCCCGCTCACTTCTAACGTCTTGGAACGCCACGTCCCTGTCTGCTCGCATGCCGTTCAGGATCAACTTTCTTACATGAAAGGTCTCATCCTCGCTCATCTCAGGAGGCCCATGTCAAGGGATCAGGTGAGGCACTATTTACCAATCGCACTCTTAGTAACGCCCCGCTAGCAGTTTGTAGAGGAAGAACTCCTTTGAGGTATAGTCCGGTTTTTCGTCGTGGCGACTTGGCACACGTTGCGAGCGATGCCCACGTTGCTCTGAGTTACACACGATTCTAACTCCCCTTCTTTGTGGCTCGAGTTCTTCGAGTTCTTGCGAGGTAGTCTGTCGTTGGACGACTACGGTCTTGGGTGTGCATGTGGAGCTTACACACTCTTGCATTTTCTCGGGGCCCTCACCCCCACCCCACCCTTGCGTTTTTCCACGCCGCACTTTCGATGCCACAAGCTGCTGAAGAGGGTCAAGAGTTGCCTTCACGAGCAACAGCACATCTACACCGCCTTTGTCAAGTGAGCTGCGTTTCTCATGTGTGCTGTTGTACTGCCGCGAGGCTTAGCCAAGCTTGTGCGGTACATTAGTCGGGGTAGAAAATAACCGTCCCTGTGGTATCTTGTGCGAAAATTACCGACTCCTGGTAGTAAAAAACACATATCACGACCAGGGACTTGGCCGTGCACGCTTCCTTCATTCGGCGCAAGTGTTGTGGAGTATTTTCGGCGTGCTGGCCACTAGGACGGTGATTTCACGAACACTGAGTCATCCAACGCGGCGCCCTCTCTCTCTGTGCCGTATCCAGGATGTTTGACCACGTTGACCAGACCCCCCTGATGCCGCTATTTCCGGCGACGAGAAGGACCCCGGCGGCCATGCCACCCCGAGGACATGTCCCTCATGCCGCCGTTGCCGCCTACCCTCCCCCGGTAGAAGGTCGTCCCTACATGATACGCCCCGGCACGACGCTAGGGAGTGGCGGCGGCGGCGGCGGCGGCAGCAGCGACAGCGTGCTAAGGGGGGCGGCGCCGTCCTATTTCTACCCGGGAATGGCTGCTGCTCCCGGAGCCGGTCGCACGAGTGCCCGCCAGTGGTCGATGCCACCGCACGGAGCAGCAAGTGCCAGCGTCGGCGGCGACGGTTACAGCGGAATGCATAAAGGAAGAGCTGGGGGTGGAGACGCTCTTCTTCATCGTGGTGCGTACCCTCCTCCTATGCACGCTACTGCCGCTTACCAAGGCCGGCGAGACGTGCATGACAGGGATAGGGATATGGAACGGAGGGAGGCATGGTCTGCACAGCAGCAGTCCCAGCAGCAGCCGAGGCCGCGGGGGGTTAATGGTTCGGCGGTACGCCCGCCAACCGGACATGCGTCGGCTAGATGGATGCCCGGCCCTACGGAAGCGTCCTGGGGGGGCGGCGGCGGAGATGTTTACCGCTGAAAATAGAGAGCTGCCTGAGATGGTGTGCGGATTGTTGATATTGTTTGCATGGTTGCTTTTGCAACATGACCTTGTGCGAGTTTTGCTACGTTTTGGCCTGTCTTAAGCTTTGGGGGGTGAATGCGGCACGGCCCGGCACTTCTACACACGATATTTTCTGCATCGTCCTACGCCGTTCTGTAAGTAAACCTCACGCAGCAACACCCTTTTTTTATTTGTATGTGATTTTCCCTCAAGAGGTGCCAGTCAGACACATTTTACTGAAGGCTTCTCGTTCTTTTGTTCTTCCACCCATCGGCAATTCTTGAGTTCTAGGTAGTTATTAATAGACGACGTGTGCTCACGGTAGCGCTTTTTAGTTACAGGAGTACTGTAGTAGAATTGTTTATTGTGTCGGAGGTTGGTTCATGTTTCCATTGGCACTACGGTTGGTTCATGTGATGAAAGGTCCTGAACTGAGTGCGCAAAGACGCGGTGTGATTGATATCGAGTGCTCGGGTTGGTGAGGAGGCGGTTGGATCGTTGTGGTCCTCTTAACCCTCGCCCAACCACCTGCCCCAGCCCAATTCTGTACGGCCGACAGGCGAGGTTAGCGTAGGCATGCCGGTCACCCCGGTGGTCTAGTGGTAACCTCGAAACCGCTTGTGGCAAAGTCGTGAGGTCGAATCCCCCATGGGGTGTAAAATCAACAATTTTGCGGGTGGAAGCGAAAAAGCGAAAAGCTCGTGCGTACCAAACTTCGACGTTAGCACCGTTGACGAGGGAAAGGAACAGCTGGACCCCTCTCGCCATAAAAAAAAAAAATCAGCACGCACCGCAGGAGGAAGGTGGGGCACGAAAATAAAATGACAAGAAAAAAGACTCGGCGTGTACCTCCCTCCTGTTTGACCCCGGAGGGTTGTACTTGTACGAAAAATGAAAAATACGCTACTACACTGACGCTTGTACACGTCTCACCACGAAATTGGGGGGACTGTCGCCTTAATAAATGGGACGAAAAACACAAAACAAACGTGTCTAAAATTTGCTATCTTTGCCGTGTCTTGTGCGTGCTACTCGCGGCGGGGGGCGCCTAGGGTTGCCGTCACGCCAACCACCTACATGTAGTTAGTTCGGTTCGTGGCATGATTAGGTGTCCGCCTACAGAACAAAGCCACTTCCTTCCCATTCCAGAGGGTATGTGTCCCTTAAAACCCTAGCACTCACGCTCGAACAGCGTAGTCCGGACCTTCCGTACCACGCCGCTCTGCTCCTTCTTCACCATCGCGTGTGCTGGGTACACTCTTGATGTATGATCGTGTTGGCACCAGCTGGACGTCTTGCATCTCATTTGGCAGTTACTACAAAACTATATTTAACGTGCAGGAAATAAACGCTCGGTCTCGCCCGCGGTTCTCCACAGCACACAAACATGCGAAGTAGCAGCCCTGGTAGACATGTGTGCAATGTCCTTCTGTTGTTACCGTCTCCGTCTTCAATCCGGAGAGTAGAGTAGCCTCCCCCATTTCGCCCTTCTCACGGGGTCCCAGATGATGTAGCCTTTAGAAGTATTTTGTGTTGTCAACCGCACTGAGTCTGACGTTTTTTCATTGGTCAGGCGGTTAGCGCGGTCGCGGTCGATGCATATAAAAGGAACACAACCACTAAACACAAAACACAAATCTGATGTTAAGGGCCACCTAGTTCGGTCGCTCAAATACACGGACCCATTAGCTTAGAAGAAAGTTCCTTCGACCGCACATTGGACGTGCGCATGAAAATGAAATCACCAGCACGCATACCTTGTGCGTACGATGACAACACACGCATGAACAAAAAAGCTGACGCCCCTACTTCCGCGCATACTTCGGTAGCAGACGGAATAGAAGCACGCTACTATACGCAGGATCTAGTCGTAAAACAGACGTAGTGAAAATTCTATGTACTCAAATAATGAAATAACGAATACGTGGTCGATCATCATGAATCAACAAGGACGATGCGCAGAACCTTAAAAGATGGAAGAAAATAACCTTTCGCTTGGAGACACCATAAAAACGAAAATTGGGGTGAAGTGAAACGGCGCCAAGCATTTGTTTCGATGCTTCCTATTTTAGCTCCAGCCACCTGCCCTACCGTGTCGCCATTCCGACACCCTCCGCCCAGACGCATGCGCCTCGGGTGGCACAGGAGGTGCTGAAGAGGAAGAAGGGCCATCCGTCCGCCACTCATACGACCTCTGCTGCTGCCGTTGTTGTGGCCAGCTTCTCACTATTCTCGCTTCCCGATCTCGCCCATCCTCTCGATACATCATCCCGGGCCTTGCCGCAGAGGCTGGGCCACGGGGAGGAGAGGGATGGCGGTAAGGGGCACCGGCCAGCCGATGAGGCGGGACAGCTTCATCGTTCTGGTACCCCCTGCCGACACTCTTGCCCCACACACCCGCGTACTGCGGCATCGGCTGTCTCTCACGGCGGGCATCCACTCCCGCCGCCGCGGCAACGCGACGGTAGGTTTCGTTGGGCCGTGCCCTCGCGGCCGAGGCACCGGGGGGCACCGCGTATTCGCGAGGAACCGCAGCAGGTACTCGGGAATAGGGGAAAGGTGGCTGTACCCCGCCGTCGTCCGCGTGGGCGTGCATCCTCCCCCTGTACGACACCGACTCGGGCGGATCGTCACGGGCTGTTTTCATGGCTGGGTAGAAGGGCACCGGTGGAGCTTCGGCGTGGATGAGATCGACGCGGTCGAACGTCCTGCAGGGAGAATGATCATTTGTGTGGAATCAGCGCACCCGAAAGAGAAAAAAGTGGAGGTCGTGAGGGCGAGTTTCGACAAACGATACGTTGGGTGTGCAAATTTCTTGGATGCGCCGGGTGGCATTTCTTGGATGCGCCGGGTGGCGTCTTGTACTCGTGCACTGCCCCGTGGGGTGGTCGTCCCTGAAGAACAGGGACGGGGCAGCTATTGCGTGCCCATCCGTAACAACGTCTCATTTCGTGAGGTACAAGTGTTACAATCCATTAGACTAGTCAGCCCATTAGACTAGTCAATAGTCGGCTCACTAGTCTAACGCTTTGATTTCGGCTTCTACTAAAGTTAGCCGTGGGGTTCGTGTGCCCCGACACTTTCACTTCCGAGGAGGGTGACATCCCCTTGCTACTATCCGTCCAATCTTTATTTCGCTTCACATCACTCGCCACCAACACCCTGAAGAATTTTTTTAGGGTCTCAGACGAGTCCTTCAGTCATCCACACACTGGCCGGGAGTATCCAGGGTCTCAGGATAAAAACCACGTCCAAATGCCCAGCCTGGGTCTCGAACCGACGACCAACTTCTATAGAAGCCGAGATCAACCCCTTAGACGAGTCAGCCCGTTCGACTGGTCAGCGCTGACTATCAAGTCTAATTGATTCGGCCTCAATATCCTTCACCGTGAAGATGTGTCCTCTTTCAAAAGGTACGTCGCGGCTGTAGCAAACACGAAACTCTGCGCGCGTCGATACTCACTTGACGAAGGCGGCGAAAACCTGCCGCTGTTCCGCTAGGCAGCTCTCGGCTCTCTCCAGTAGCTGGGTTGTACAATCGCAATCCACGCAAGCACGAATGATACGGGTGCAGAAATACGAGGATCGGAGGGGACACGACGGGAACACAACGGCGTGAAAAGGAAAACCAGAGGGATATCAAGGAGAGAGTACTACTTAAGTTGACTAAATGTCTGAGCCGCCTCCAAGCCCTAGCGCGTCATCACAAGCCAGACGCAAGAAAACGTCACTAAAGAGGATAATTCGCACGGACACAAAAGACACATGTACAACACATCCAAAAAGAGGGGGGAGGGGATATCCGTAAACCATGTGCGTTTGGTAGAGGAGGGGCCAAAATCACGTCTGGATGCAAAAGCATGTCTACACACGAGGGGTACACACCTGGGCACGAGTCATGGGCTTTTCGACGTGCCTGAGGATGAGACCTCTCATATACACGAGCTGGTCCTGAAGGGCAAACAACACCATGGAGGAACAACGGCGGTTGAACGAACAATGGCGAGTGAAATTGGAGGCATACACACTTCCGCATCAAAAGAACAAGTGGTGCGACAGGACGAATCTCCTACGAATCATGCGTATTCAAAATCCACAACCCACGAAGTCAGACAGAGGAGAGAGAAAAAGAGATAGAGAGAGAGAGGGGAGAGAGAGAAAGCGATGAACTAACAGCACTAGCAACACTACCAAGGGTTCCCAGCCTCATTCAATTGAGCCCAACTACCCAAGCAACTGCCTCACCTGGTCCAAGTACGCTTGTGCCCTCTCCAGCAGACTCCAGCACGGACCCATGAACCCGAATACGTCTTGCTCCAATAATTCTTCGCGCCTGTCTTCGTACGCGGCCGAGTATCTGCCCATACGGTCATCACCAACCTCGCGGCGGATATGGTAGGGGTGCTGCTGTTGTTGTTGTTGCTGCTGCTGTGGCCGCGGTGGCTGCTGGCCCGCATGCCTCGGCATGGCGACGGTTGTGCGGCGGCCGTGCGAGTTCGGGGGGATCACCGGTCGAGCTGCCGTCGGAAGGTAGCGCCGTTGGTCTGGGGTTGTCAACCAGAAGAGACGGGGAGAGAGAGAGACTACTTGAACGCGATGGCAAGCGGGGGATGATGTAGGTACATATGCATGCATGTTTTTCGACCAATGTTTTACTCGGCTTTGCCGCATCATTCCAAGGCCAGAATAAAGGGGGAATCCACCATGGCGGCATTGAAACAGCAAGTCACCAGACTTGGTTGTAAGCACCTGCTGCCGCCGCTGCGTCCGACATCATTGGTGGGACCGGACGGGGGCGTATCGGCCTGGGGCCCCACGACATCTCCCGCGCATGAGCAGCTGCGTGCCATCCTCGCCCCCCGGTGCTGGGGTGGTGCCCACGCGCTGTTGCCGCTTGTGCCGCGGAGCCAGCGGCATGGAACACCGATCCCCTTGGGGCCCTTCTAGCAACCTCTGCTCCGTCATCGCTGTCGTCCACCTGTTCGATTTGTCGTAAAAGGGGGGGGGGGGGAACGAAATTCTCAAGTTTCTCGCTACTACTGCCATACTTCCAGTTTCCCCCTTCATGTGCATGATACCCCATTGAAACCGCTGTGAGAGTGTGGGTGAAGCGACAAACGGTTGAAAAAGCAGAGAAAATTGGCAATTTGCCTGTTGGAGAGTGGAGAGCTGGGGGGAAGAAACGCTGTCGGTGGCTCTCCCACGCCCGGCCATCGACCAAATGCACTCGTGCTACATCCACACTTGCTGCCACAATCACGCGGCATCACGCGACGTGAAACCTCAGGGCAATGAGCCAGACGAAACGAACAATCTCACGTACCTCTAGCACCTCGACGCCCGGGGGCATATCCCTCGGCGTCCGCCTCATTTGCTCCCTGGCGGCTGCCCGCTGACGCTCGTATTCACCACCAACGTTACCATTGGCACCGGCAGGACCGTGGCTTCGCGGGGCGTGGTCCACGGCAGGAGACACGGTGCTACGCATCGGGGGAGAAACCGTGTGCTTCGGTGGCCTCACATCTTCCCGCTCCCTTAAGCGGCCCTTGGCTTCAGAGGCAGGAAGCAGAGGGACTGCGTGAGTGCTTGACTTGCGGTCAGCCGGGGGATCGTATGTCGCGGCGCTTACGCTGTCGCTGGAAGGGTTGGCCAAGCTCATGTGCTTGGCGGCCGGCCTGAATGTTGAGTTGTTCGACTCTCGGGCAGGGCGCCCAGGGCTGCCAGTAGGGAGGATGGCTTCGCGTTTTCGTGCTTCAGCCGCCTGCGTGGAACCAGAGGCCATTGTTGACACATATAGCGTACAATGCAAACGGGCGTACATGTTACCGTGTGTTTCAGCCCTCGTGTGTTTCTCCGACGATATTTCAAAGGCTCTACCACGAGGGGTCCAATTACCGCACATGGTACACAGGAGAAACTGCTCTCTATAGACCAGGGGTACGTGAAGGCCTGTCCGTCTATAACATCCGTCTACAACGGATGTCGAACCTCCGGCAACAAGCCTTCCTACCGGCGGGAAACGATCTCCCTGCAGCCGACAAACAAAATAAGTGTTCGGCCTAGAGCAGGATGTGTGTTTTGTGTTCGTCTTATTTATTAAGGCGACAGTCGCCCAATTTTTCGAGGTGAGACGTACTATACTTTTCAGTGTATGTAAAGCACTACAATTTTCAGTTAATTTTTTTACAACAACCACAGGAGGGGGAGCACCAGGGCTTTTGTCTTCATATTTTTCGTGCCCCACCTTCCTCCTGCTGTGCGTGCTGAATTTTTATTTTTATCGCGAGAGGGGTCCAGCCGTCCCTCTCCCTCGTCAACGGTGCTACCGTCGATGTTTGGTACTCGCGAGCGCTTTTTCAGCTGAACCTCGCTTTTCACCAGAAAATTTTGTAATTTTTCACCCCATGCGGATTCGAACTCACGACGTTTGCGACTAGTGGGATACCACTAGTCCACCGGGGCGACCGGGTATAAGTATGCGTTTAAGAAAAAAACGGTTTTGGTCATGAGTTGAACAAGATGTCCATTGTGGGTTATCCACTGTTGGGTGCTCACCTCCTCCCCGTAGACAACGTCCGTAAGGGGCTCCGCCGTCGCAAGGTATCTGTAGAAGAAACAAAGCACCTGTGCACGGAGAACAGGTGACGGGACAGTCCACGCAGAAGGGGTGCCGCGACAATCAGAAGCGGCCCGTCGTTAGTTGTGCCGAGGCGATCGTTTGTATCTCGAGCGTCTGGAATTAAAATGATATGTTCATCTGCGTTTATGTGGGCCTTCATGAACAGATCGAGCTACGGATGGGCCCGTTCCATTGAGACGTATGATTGTGCCCTGAAAGGAAGCATGCATACCTGCGTCGGGCTTTTGCCAGAGACCTGCTTGCTGACGTCGGCAAGGTCGATGAAATCCTCGCGGTCCATGTCCATCCCTTCTCGAGCCCACCCGTGCAGCCGCCTGTCCCGGTTGTAATCCTTTGCGAGGGCTTGCTCCAGTGTTCTCACCTTCCGGCACATCACATGGGGGGGGCACGCATGAGATACGAAAAGACATCTGCTCGGCTGTCCGTACAGCTATTCGCCGTATGCAAGAATTTCAGGCACAAGGACAAATGACGCTTGCGCCTCGAACGATTGTGGCATGCATACCAAGTGGCACAACGACGTTGCCCCTTCTTTACAACGCCAAAGCGACGGTGGTAGATAGCAAGGGGGCGGTGGGTTTCCCTCCATACCTGTTGGAGGGTCCAAGGTTGAATGCTCTCCGGCGATGCCTCGTCGCCTACGAGAATTTTTAGGGCCGGGTCGAAGTCGTCCAGGGTGCACCTGGCCTTGACCAAGGCAGCCAGGGCCTCTTCCTCACACTGGCGAAGGAGGGACAACGCCGAAAGCCGAAATGAACCCTGTGTCAGTACAACCATTTCCTCTCTATTGTTTGTCCAGGCACTGCCGCAATCGCTTCTAATGATGTTACCTGCATCCACGCGGCGTGTGTTTTTCCTATTGCTGACACAGGTTCCGTAATATCCAATCATCTCGTGGCGGTTCTACGTCGCACAACGGGTCAGAAATGTTCATGACAAAACACTCTCATGTGTGGCTGGGTGAGCATCTTGTGAAGCTCAACCATCAATCGCTCACCTGCACCCGTTGAATGGCAGACATGGGGACCTCCGTCTGGGCCATTTCCGAGCAGCCGACTCGCGCAACGCCGCGGGCGTTGCTGCCTGCGTTGCGGCCGGCGGTGACCGCCCAGACAGCGTAGCTGCTGGCAACGCTGGACTTGTCTCCCGGGGTCCCGCCCTTGTCACCCTCGCCGCCGAGGCGCACGTGGATGGCCACGCCTGGGCGAGACTGTTTCGCCTGGACCGCCTTCTTCGCTGCCTCGAGGTACGAGGACAGCATTCCGCGGGAGTGTGGATCCCAGTCACGAATGCTTCGCCAGACCTGCCCACCAGCCAACCAGAGTTAGGTTCGAGGTGTTTTCAACAAGGGACAACACCCAGCGAGCATAGAGAGGTCTATCCGTCGGGAAATGATTATCCGGGATCTGGAAGAAGGCAAAATCCAGCAGCGGGTTGAGGTAATCGTCGTCTTGCTTTGTAGCTCTTATGGGACGGAACTTCATAGAAACAACGATGAAGCACTATTTCACTGAAACATCTGAGGAGCAACAGCAGTGGGGGCAGTGGAAGTGATAGTTTACCCGGTTACACAAAGAATACATAGAAAGAAGCACAAGAAAGTGAAATACCACGGGTTCTTGCAAGCAAGCCTCCGGGGAGAACGAGGCACTCGAGATGCTACTCACCATCTTGGCGCCGGTCCCCGCGGCGGTAGGCGCAGCGGCCTGCCTTTCGCCTGCTGGTAGCAGGTCCGGAATATCAGCCTGGTAGCCGTCGCCGACAAGAGTACGTTGGGGAGGGTAGTCGGATTCCTCCACGGCGGTCTTAGCCGGTCGGCCCCTCTTTCTCTTCCCCGCAATTGACAGTCGGCGCTTTACTGATGAGGCGGGGCCTTCCTCAGAACCCGGCGGCGATGGCGTCGCCCCGGGAGGAGTCCCTTCTGCCGCTCCCGCGGAAGCGGTGCGCACGCGATTGGGGCGGCGGTCCTTGCCAGTGACCCCGGAGTCGGCAGCAGTGGGAGGTAGGGATTGATCGGTATTTTCTGAATCCAGGCGAGCCGACAACGAAGGATTGCCTTCGACGGGAGGCATGGCCAGGCGACGCGGTCGCTTCGCATGAGTTGTGCTGCGAGGCGACAGACGCGAGTTTAGGGTAGGCGGCGTACCAGAAACAGGGGAGGAAGAAGAGCCGGAAGCGCGTCTCTTGACCCCCTTCCCGTCATCGTCATCATCATCATCATTCGCCAGGAGCGGCTTCTTACGTCGAGCCGATTTCCTGGGCGGCGCGCCGAAGGGTTGTTGGTCCTTGCCTGTTGAGTCGCTGTCGTTGTCGTCGTCGTCGTCGTCACCGCTCTCTTCGTCCTCTTGTTTCCACTCCATGTCGTCAGACTTAGCAGGGTGGTCGGGACCGCTGTCACTGCCACTCTCGCTCCACTCTCCTTCCGATTCAGTGTCGCGCACAGATGCAGCAGCGGCAGCAGCAACATCGCCGCCGGTCCTGCTGGTCCCGGCATCAGAAACCGTCCTCGTTGACACTCTTGTTCTTCGGTTCGGCAGCAACCAACCGTTGCTGCTCTGCGTCACGGACTTGCCGCTCCTGGCGGCAGCGGTTCCTTCGACCAGCCTTGACGCGCGCGTGGAGGTTTCCGCGTGCCTGGCTCTCGCACGCTTTACAATGGCATCAGTGGGCTCCACGGGGATGAAGTCGCCCGACGAAGCATCGAAGGCGTGGGTAAGGCGCGGCCCCATGTTTTGTTTCGGCTCGGTGGCGCGTTCGGCGGCTGTAGTCGCCACTGACAGCGTAATGGGCTTGGCGATTGCACGAACGTCGAGATCCTCCCTTTTTGTAGTGAGGAATACTTCGTTTTTCATCTCCATTTCCTCGCGCGACTCGTTGGTGCTGTCGGGTTCCTCTTCACCTGCGAAAGCACGACGAGCCGCCTGGAGCCGGGCGAAGGCATCTTCAGGGAGATCTGACGAGTGCACCAGCCAACGCGCGTGGAACTTGAATAGGCCCGTAAAGGTGTCTTCCCACATGGAGAGCACCTGCGTGGTCGAATTGAAAGCACATGACCAAACAAGCCAGGTCAACCAAACAGTGCGCGAAATCATTAGTCATGCAGTGGAGGCAATAAACACCAGGGACGCGTTGATCGCCAGGTAGAGTTAGACAAAGATTGCGAGGTCCCAAAATGTCGATCGACAGCTGTTGTCGTTGTTCGACCGACCCCCTCCTTTGATGTCCGGCCTGTTGCGGCAAACAGTGCTGTTCGCTCATCGCAAGTGCGGCGGTCTGTAAACAATGGCTCCATTGCATTGCGGGCCAATGCCTCAAGCACCGGCCTGCCGTACATGACTCGCATTGGGCGTGGTGTCGTCATACAGCACTTGTTGAAGGGAAAGACAACACTATAGACACCAACAATAAAATGACATTGTCCCATTCGATGTCTAAAGCCGTCCCCGACACCGCCCCTACGCAAACCCTCGCTTTCAGGAAACATTTTGCGCGTCAGAACCAGGGGCATTGCAAAAAATATCACTCACGGTTGGGGATACATGGCATAATCTGTGGTTCCGGTGGCGCACATCTATCGCCATTGGATACGGAGATTCATGCGCCTGGCACACGTCCGAGGGAAAGAAGTGCTGCTGCATCTGCTAGCGTGGGATGTGGATAGATAAATCTTCCTTTTGTATGTTGGTGCGTCACACATCCATGTGGCACACGTTCTTTTCCGCTCGAGGCCTACTCTCGGTTTCGGAACGTTTGTTCAAGCTACATAAATAGGATAGCTTGCGTCGCACATCAGTGGCTGGACGTGTGGGGAAAATTGGTATCGTCGAAAACCCCTCTGGCTCAGTGAATCTCTCCACAGAGCAGGCAATTCTTCGCAATGTGTATCGGCAGAAAAAGGGTGTAGCAGACCATCGCTGCGGCCATTGTGTGAGACGTACCGTGATGGTTGGGCTTGGGTTGGGTATTTGTAGAGATAGGGTATTGCAGACGATCACTTTAGTCATTGTGTTAGATGTATCATGGTTGGGCTTACATTGTTTGCAAGTCACCATGCACCAGACAATACTTGTGGGTACCTGGTGACTTGTAGCACTAGAACTGTCGCCGTGGAAGCGTGCAGTTTCCAGCACAAGGTCGAAAGCCTCACAACAGCGGCAACTTGACTGCACCCACTTTTGTTTTGTTTTCGACCGCAACCATGTGAGTCTTTACAGCGGGGGCAGGGCAGGAGACAAGAAAGTTAACTTCGGGTCGAAGCTTAAAGCTCCCATGTGAACAACCAACCCATCTACATCGTTTATCGTTCAAAATCTAACTGCAGTTGTATCAGATCCATGTTTATGGTTTCCAAATCTTTATCTTCATTTCTTTGGACAAATGCTGACTTTTTCGACCTTTTGGGCAGTCTGCCTCCCGAATGAATGCGAATCAGCTGTTCGACCTTTGAGAATAGTCACAGCTTTGCCCGAGATGTATTCAGGCCGCATACTTGTTTTGCCAGGGTCCACGTTTGATTTTTTTCCAGCAGTTCAAGATGTGCAAGATTCGGCCCAAAGACCACCTCGGAGCAAATGTTGGGCCAAGATCTGTCCAAAAGCTGGTGTTGGAAAAATCTTGCGTGAAAATTGTGCATCTTGAAAAAATCAAACGTGGGCCCTGGCGAAACAAATAGGCGATCTGTAGACATCTCAGCCAAAGCTGTGACTATTCTCAAAGGTCGAACAGCTGATTCGCATTCGTTCGGGAGGCAGACTGCCCAAAAGGTCGAAAAAGCCAACACTTGTCCAAAGAAAGGAAGATAAAGATTTGGAAACCATAAACATGGGCCTCATACAAGCTCGTGTTCTTCGGTCATACTGGATGCGGCCGATTTTACGAGAAATATTTCCCTATTGTCCTACACTGCGTCGTTCACAAACGATGTATTCGGTTGTAAAGATCATTGAGCAGCCAATCATGTGCAATTCGCTGGTACACGCATGCTCGGGTGGTGAGGACGGGTGCAGGAATGGGCACGTTTGCTTCTTGTTCGACACGCTCCCACTGCTACACATGGCTTTTGTCGTGGGAGCCTATGACTATTGTCGTTTTTCTTAGCTAGGGTTCTTAGCGTGTCGCCCAAGAATTGTCCGAGTTTCTTTTACCCCAAATGGTTCATTTTCGCGACAGCTGGGATCTTTCTGTATCCTTTCGGTTTGTTATTGTGCCTGTGATGGTTGGTTGTTCTGGGTGCCTTTTATTTCCGTTGGTAAATTCTGCTGCTCCGGAGTACATACGCTGAGTGTATGCATACGTAGAAGTATGTGCCGTTTTTCGGGTAGTTGGCCTGTGACCACGGAAAGCATCCGTGTCAGTTGGACCGGCACGGATATTGGAAGGTATGAGCCAAGACTGGCAAGGTTCATAATGTCAAGATAACATCAACAGCAACAAACAACAACAACGACAACAACGAACGGTGTTTCTACAAGCAGCACCACCACCAACGCCGGTAACCAAATCTTCGCTCCAAAAAGACACGTAATTCTATTTAGTAATAGTAGACGATGCTCTATCGCAATGGAATTCCGGACAAGCTCGCTTTATAGTTTTCTCTATTTACTTCATTTCTCTTTTTCTTAGGCTATAGAAATTTTTGTCCTATGTTTTTACCGCATTAACAAGCACACTTCGTAATTATTCCTGTAGATATAGTACCAATAAAAGGATTCGCGTCAGGTCGGCGCGAGCTTTTTTTTCAACGATTTTCTGGATTTTTTTTGTTGCAAGCCCGCAGCCGCGCCGATCGATGCGAATATATGTGCATGCATGCCGACCTCCCGACGTCGGCCCCGGCGGTCTGCACGGACATGTGTGCACTGCTCTGCATCTCTGCTGACACCGCCACGAGCTTTTTCATCGATGCTCTAAAGAGATCCTTCTGGAGGATTTTGGCTGTAAAAAGAAGTAATTTCTGGATTTTTGGGGTTGAAAGCCCGCAGCCGATCGGATGGATGTGAATACATGTGCATGTGCCGGCGTGCCGGCCTCCTGACCTCGCTCGGCGGTCTGCACGGACAGGTGTGCACACTGCTCTGCATCTCTGCTGCCACTGCCACGACATATGCATTGCTCGACTGCTGCTGGAAACTACATACTTGGGGCTGACTCTGTGTGTATAATAGTTCATTGAGCAGTCGGACTCAATCCTGGCCTCATCAACAAGGACGGATTGATTGAGCGGGGTCATCAAGCCGCCGTGTTCTTCTGTTTTTCTGCACGCACACACACAGTGCAACCGCCGGAACAGTGCTTCGATGTACGACAGGCGACGGGCCGACCGCCAGCTCAAGATGCGGTTACTCCAGGCTGAAGTGGTGGAGACTCTCCTATACGGGTGCGCCTCGCGGAGCCTAACAGCGGAGCACTACACGAAGCTCAATGGGACCCACCGCCAGTTCCTGACACGGTGTATCGGCTGGAGCAAGCGGAAACGCTCATAGCCCCCTGTCCTATGCCCAGGCCCTCATCCAGGCCGGCTGCGAGGAAACCATCGAGGCCACCGTGTGCAAACGGAGACTGTGTTTCGCGGGCTTCGTTATGCGCATGGAGGCCAACCGCCTCCCCAAGCGCATGTTGGTAGGAGCGATGGCGGGGGGCGTGGGATACCGGGGCGGGCAGGAGAGCGACTGGGTGTCTCGTCTAGGAGAGGACCTCGTGGCGTTCAACATGGGAGACGAAAAGGAAGGGGGGAAATGGAAAGAGAGCGCCAAGGACCCGGAGGCGTGGTACAACAAGGTCGAGGACGGGGCGGCATGGTTCATGAGGAAATGGCACAGACAGGAGGCGGAAGCGTCCGCGAAGCGCCAGCGCGCGAAGGAAGTAGAAGCAGGGAGTACGGCCATCTCGGGACCGAAGAGAAAGAGAGTCGGGGAGGCGGCGGTGGGGGGGAAGAAACGGCAACCGGGCGCTGTTGCTGTAGAAGCGAGTAGGGCGGCCGAGGCAGCACTTGTGGCGAAATATGTACCCGGCTGATGTTGTTGCGCCCTGTTCCCCTCCCTGCTTTATGTTATACTCGTGTATGTCCTTTGTATTGCCTTCGGCCTCAGTGCTGTGCTTCTTTTTTCATGTCCTCCCTGCCTACTCTGCCTTGTTGGGTACCTTGATCTCCCTTTTGCTGTTGCTTTTGCTTTATATTCTGGCTGTCTGCCCATCTGCCGCCTCTTTTCTGTTGCCTCCATTACTTCTATGCCCTGGTGCGTAGTGCCTGATGCTGGTACGGTACCCTTTGATTGTTTTTAGGCGGGTGTGGGAAGCGTCCTCGTTTTTCCCTTTTTTTGTTTGCCTTTATTTTTGTTTGGTTTTATGTTGATCGGTTTCCTAGGGCTCCTTTTCTCGACCGGTTGGTGCGGTAGCTGTTCTTTTCTTGGCATCATTTTGTTTTCTTTTTCAGAGTGGTTTGTACTCTATTCTTGTTTTGTTTCCCCGCGGCGTCGTATGTGCCGGGTTTTGCGACCACGGGCTCCCCATTATTGTGGACTATAGAGCTACTGTGAGAGAAACAACAACAAAAAACAACAACACACACCCTCGAAAGGGCAACGAAGAACAAACCATGTATACATGTGCGCTTCCAGCGTGCGAACAGTATCAGGTAGTGACCGTAGCATCGTCATGTCTTAAGAATCCGGTGGGGATTAGGCGAGATGAGACAGACAGCAGTCCAAACATCTCCCCCGCATGACACATATGACAGAAGGCAGCCAGACCTGAACAACAGCAAACAAAAAGGAAAACGAGCTGAAATTGCGTCGGTTTGTACCGCCTTGCTGCATGTACGCTGGGAACGCTACTGCTGTTGTGTTCTCATTCCCCACACGTACACGCTCGCTCCACATCCGCTCTGGCAGCTGCCGTGCCAACGCTCCGCTGGTGTTGTTGGCAGGTGTTGACACAGGGTTCAACATCAGACAGATCAGAAACAGCTTGTCACGCACGTTTTTGGTTGAAGCTGACGACTTCTGCCGGGCTGTTCGACACGACAGCCCGACTCTACCCGACAGCTGACGCTACAGATGGACAGAATCAGTGCGTGGTCTTCTTACAGTCACAGGAAAACTCTGGAGACTGCGAGGAAGACTGTACAAATCTGTATATAGTCTTATTCTCGCGCAGGTGTACACGTGTACTCGTGTACACCCCCGGTGCTTTGGGCGCGCCGTGTATGCATGGTGATAATGCGAAAACGTTCATTTATATAGCAAAAATCAACGATATCAGTAGAAAAATCAGGGACGAACATTACCCCCGTTCCGGTAATTTACCGGTGAAGGGTTGGCGGGGTCGGTGAAGTCAAAAATTGAGGTAATTCTCGTCGCCTTCCCTACCCATCAGCTGCAGCTTTCCACACTCGCGCTTTGGCATTTTCGTGGCCCATAGATACTTTTTTCTGTATTTTTTTTGTCAATTCTTCGGGGAAGAGATGCGGAGACTACTGTATGTACGGGAACGAACATGACAAAACATTTTGAAAAACAGTCAGCCTTCATCTTGCCCTTGTTTTGTTTTCTATTCTATGCATATTACTGTCAAGATGTGGGGCTGTAGAGGAGAGGGGTCAGCCACACGAGCTACATGCACCCTGCCACCCTGCTCACCC